ATTTCTATTAACAAAGCATGTCCTCTCCCTCCAAGAAATAACTTTGTGTTGGGTCGGGTGTCGCTCATGTATCTGATGATCTGAGCATCAAGAGCCCGGGAAAACCTCCCTGCTGAAAAACATAAGAAAAGACAGAACATTATAACTAGTTTAAACATTTATTTAGACCATAGTACTTAATGAGATTATTGAACATTAAGTGTGTTTTCTAAAGATGTGTACGCTCTCTCATTTTTCTCTGAAAAACATATTTGTTATAATCCAACAGGTGTAGCAGCTCAAAACTGGTGTTTATTCTGTCTCTGACTTGTTTAAATATAATGTTGTTTGAATTCGCGATCAGATACACGGAAAGTAAAGGGTAAACAGGCCAGTGGAGTTTTTTAGTCAGCCTGTGGCTTAGCTGCACTTTTTTTTTTTTAAAATCTTCTTAATAACGTCTTGGTACATGTTGAGTAGACCCACTTTCTGCTCTCTTTAATAAAAACAGGTTTAAACTGAGGGGCAGTAATGTAAATAGGCTGCATTTTTGTAGTACTTTTCTAGTCTTAGTGACCGCTCAAAGCGCTTAAATTACAGCCCACACTCACTTTCTCATTCACAGATGATAAAAACAAATCAGGTACCCAGTGTCACGTCATCTCACAGACTGCAGTTGGGAATCAAACCTTCAGATTAGTGGGCAACTGAGCCACAGCTTTCTTTGTCAGGCTTCTTTCTTTATCAAGCTGGTAGCACACCTGCCATCAGGATAACATCTGTGCAGTGTGTTTCTTAAAGTGAATCAATAAATACTTTCACAGATTTCAACATGAATAATGTTTGGTTACGAAGCCAAACAAAGTATATTTTATTCAGTTTTCATCATGCACAGTGTCAGTTAGAGCTATAAGCCAGAAGTGTTGCTTATATTTAGAACCACATCAGACATCCCTGTATGTTCCCGCTGGTTTATATCTCTGTTTCAGTTATACCTTTGTGGCTGTGCTGTCAATTACTGTATATAGAAAAGGTGCAGATTAGAGCTAAGTATTGTGCCATCAGATTTCCATTGTGAAATATGTAAAAACATACAATTTCATACAAAGAACTCACAGGTTGGGAAGCTAAATAAATCATATGATATTTTTCATTATTCAGATGGGGAAAAACCACTGAGCGGGTAACAAGCTTTTATCAAGCAAGAAGGCCATTAGTGTGACATCAATTACTTTACTAGTAATGAAGACAACCTTGGTCTTTGTTACCGTGTACATGAGTGGCTGACGAGGTAGCGTCCCTTGTGCCACTTGCTAGCTGTGTTGTCACACAAGGCTAAGCACTTTCTTAGCTCTTTGAAATCTACACCAGTTCTCCACTTCTTTGGTAGAGAGAATTCAAGCCTCTTCACTTTGAAGAGTTGTGACAAAGGGAGACTGTGCTTTGTTAGCCTGGTAACCATCAAGATTTTCAGCTATGATTAATGATAAATAGACATTTTCTTCTACACGGACGGCTGTGTGCAGATAAAATTGTTCCCACTTTTGTTACACTCATGAATAAATAATTTGACTGCCCATTTCCTGATGACAGGAATGCAGATTACTTCCCCTTCTTATTTTGAAATATTTAGTATGTACTTTTTCTGCTTGGAGCTTTTTTCTCAGTCACCCAATAGGCCCTCCTTTTTTTGATCTTCAAAGGTTAAGTTATTCCTTAGCATATACTCTTCCTGTCTCAGAATAGGACCTGACTGATTGTCATTCACATGTGGCGTTAAGTGAGGCAAATCCTTTTAAAGGAAAGCACGACAGGTTTGTGTTTGACTCTGCAGGAACCAACCATCCACTTAAGCTCTGCCTCTCAGTTAACTCAACTTCTGTTGCTCTCTGGCTACTCAGTTTGTCTTTTCTACTTGCACTGTTGGACGAGCACAAAGCAAGCCAGGTAAAGCCAGTGGAGTGATAATCCTCTTAAGAGACTCCTTGCTCATTTGTCAGAGTCCAAATAAAGCACTACCTTATAGGATTTAGTGGAGATATGTTTGTTCACTCTCTGACCTCCCATTGTGACTATAAAGATCTGGGACAAGAAGGGATACAAGCATCAGATGAGGTTTTGCATTGAAGGCGGAGCCAAGGGTCATAAAGGTGAGCAGGATCTGGCTGTGCATCACTGCTGTCTGCTCTCAAAATAGCTGCATGTTAATGCTGACAAGTGTATCTTTTCCTGTCCCAGCTAATTGTTAACTACAGCTTACACTTTCAGTTTTTTAGATTAATACCATTGCTTACATGTGAAGATTTAAAAAGATAAGGCTTGTGTTGTTTCAGGTTATTTTCATAGAGTGCTCTGTGCACACATGACGAAACGGATGTTTTGGCTGGCAAATAACGTGCACACCCATCATCTTGTAAGGAGCAGACACAGCCAGGTGTCTTCTCTTCAGTATAAAGACTGCCATCTTTTGTCAGAATTGCCACAAAGAGATTTTTTTTTTGTTTCGTTTTTTTTGCCTTTGTGACAATTGAAATACAATTTAAAATGAAAAATCAGCAAATCTACAACAGAATGTATTGGTCAGTCATTAACACCTGACTGAAATACGGTGGTGGGACCTTAAGAGAGCTGCGTGCAATCAAATACCCACAAATCTCAATGAACTAAAGCAATACTGTAAATAAGAGTGGGGCAAAGTTCCTTCACAACAATGTCAGAAAACCATCACTTCATGTCATTTTTGCTAAAAGCCACTGAATCATGTGGTGTACTTGGCTTTTCTCACACTGCTTCTGGAGTTTGGACTTTTTTTTATTACACAAATAAAGTCAAATATCACACGTTGTTGCTCTTCAGCGGTTGTTTTAAACCAATTTAGAACCTGGTATGGACCAGATTATTTTTCTTTCATGATACATTAAAGCATAACATTGAAACAGGGTTTTACAGGTCTGTATTATCACCAATTTGGTTTTTATTTTTCTTATTATGCAGAAGTTTTTCATTTTCCTTACTGATTCACTTTCCTACAGCCTTGTCAACTCCCAAACAAAAAATGGTGCCACACCACTCTACCTGGCCTGCCAGGAAGGCCATCTGGAGGTTGTCCAATACCTGGTCAAAGACTGTGGAGCGGATCCGAGCATTCGAGCCAATGATGGGATGACACCTCTGCATGCTGCTTCCCAGATGGGCCACAACACTGTCATTGTCTGGCTGGTGCGTTGGACTATCAGAACACTGTAGATCATGTCTTAATAATGGAATAGCTTTTCCCTGCTAAATGTGGAGTTTTTTTTAAACGGAACAAGTGAAGGTACAATACTGATATTTATGATTAAGCAAATTACTTAATATTAGTAGTATTAGTATAATATGCTTGTGATATCTAAAATAGCTTGTGATATCACCAGAAGTCACATCATAATTGAACTTTTAACCAAATTTTTCCTTCATCATTTACTTGAAAAATGTGCCAAAACCACCGTTTACTACTGGAGTCACAAAAATTGGACCAAAAGCAGCTGAAATCTTTCTGATGACTGCTAAGCATTAACCTCCATCTTGTTTCGTGCAGATGAGTTTCACGGAGATCAGCCTGACAGACAGAGATGGTGACGGAGCCACGACGATGCATTTTGCAGCCAGTCGTGGTCACGCAAAGGTCCTCAGTTGGCTTCTGCTGCATGGTGGGGAGATCGTCACTGACAACTGGGGAGGGACCCCCCTCCATGATGCTGCAGAGAATGGTGAACTTGAGGTGTGTGTTAGGTCTTATTGGATCAGCACAGTAGCAGAATATGTGTAAACTGTAAAATGAAGCGCTCTTTCAAGAATTGTTGAAGTATATAAAGAAAACTATGTTTTTCATGATTATGTTTTTTTTCTTTTTTTTTTTACAAAAGAGTTGATCAGTGTGGACTTTTAAGAAGCTCACTGAAACACAAGTCAATAGGGAAGAACAAAGGTTGCTCAGTCTGAGAACAACAAGCTTATTCCAGCTTCCACTGGTGCTTGGTAGAAAGCTTGTTAAATTCATGCTTTAAACTGTTTCCAAGTTTCTGTAGACTTTGAAACAGAAACTTTTTCATGAGAGAGAGAAAAATGAATGATAACTAAGAGAAGATCAAAGAAAAGCATGATACTGCTACATTAAGTATTTTGCTTTTAGCTAGGACATTTACATTAATTAGTTGATCAGTGAGGGAGTGTGGTGATATAATATGGTGTTTTTCTGGTCTGATGCAGTGTGAAACAAAACACAATTTGTGTTAACATGTAGTCTAAGCCTTGCATTTATCCACTCAATATGTCAAACATTTTACATGTTGAGAGTCTGTCACACTGAACTGAGTGGAGTGTAAACAGTTTTTATCGTTGCTGATTGAAGATGAGTTTAAGCAGCCTGTTTCACAAACACTGACATCAGTCCACTCTGGAACTTTCTCTGTCTGCTTTTCAGTGCTGTCAGATCCTTGTTGTTAATGGAGTTGACCTGGGCATAAGGGACCAGGATGGCTTCACTGCAGCAGACTTGGCCGAATACAATGGCCACTCCCAGTGTGCCAAGTATCTGCACACTGTGGAGAACATGGTAAGAGTACATGTCTAAAAAAA